GAAAGGACGCGGCCATTGGCGCCCGAACCGTTTCGATTTTTCGTGACGGCAAGATAAACCGTGCGCGTCTCGTAAAGCTTCGAGTCTCCTTGGTATAGAAGCAAGTCATAAGTATCCGTACGTATCCGCTCGACATGCTTCCTGATAAAATTTTCAGCGTGCTTTAAAGTCTCGTTTACGAATGGGTCATCGAAGCAAACGAGAAACGTATCCGTTGTATTAAGACCAGTCGGTCGAGCGTCGTTTAACGACGGAATTTCGACAAGCGTGTGTTCGTGTCGATGAGCCGCGCGCCATCGTCCACCGTTTCCGGTCTAACGATCTCGATAGCCTCCCAGTCCTCCGTCCGATGGGAATTCGCGATTCTTCGCGAAAATAAAGGAATTCGAGGTATGGCGGATGTGGTTTTCAGCGTTCTCTTCTAGGCGTTTTAACTAATTTCTTTTGTCTGGATGTTTGAAAGTATTTGTGGGGTTTAGGATAACTGAATCCAGTCAGAGATCATATCGATTAAGCACATTGCTCGCGAAAATATTCGTACGCTTTTAGGAACTTTTAACGTACGTGTACATTACTACGCGAAAAATGTTGAAATTTCGTTGGGACTGTAACGAGGCACGCCTATCGCCGTTCTATCAACAAAAATTACGAAATGTTCATTGGAACTGTTCGTTATTTATTATATTAATAAGCTACGATATGTAGCGAGATCATGTTTGCCATTAATTGTATTGTTTGATGAAAATCAGTGGTCGAATGAGAAGACTTTGGAGCGTTTGAGTAGATGTGAATAAATTCGTAGGTGAATTTAGAGGCTACTTCGTAATGTTTCGTCCCACCACAAAGCGCAAGATGAGGGTACTTTTTAACGATTAGTATCGTTCAGCAGGGGAAGAATTATAAAGCATTTTGCCGAATAATGCTCTTCACGTTTGGGTGCAGAATGTTTATTAGTCTCCGGTAGCGTTTCGCTCGATCAAAGTGAGAAGGAGAGCTTTATGACTACAAATGATTCTAATTTTATCTACGACTACCAGCATTAAGCGCCGGGCCACTATTTTCTCCCGGAATTTCTCGCCATTGATTTTTATTTCTGCTCCGAGAAGAGTTCCATATGGCCTAATAAAACCACCGTCTAACGCATCTTCTCGTTCCTCTAATTCTCGAAAAAACACATTCCCTTCTGGTTTCTCTAACTTGTTTCATTCTAAAGAACGATCCCCTCCTCCTTCGTCTAATTCTCCAGATTAGGCTCCCCTTTTTCTCCTAGTTTCCGGTGACACTTTCGTTGGCTTCTCCGATTTTTTACGCTCCTGAAAAAACAGTTCCTCCTTATTTTCTTAATCCTCTGGTGCAATTATTTTCCTTTCTGCGACTTTTACGGTAGCCGTGTTTAATCTTGAAATAATTTCTGTAATTCCAAGATATGGCCTCTTTTTTTCCTTTATAGTTTCTCTGGAACTTTTTCCTCCGCTTAAAATTTTTCGAACACACACACCGTGATATTCTCTTAATATTTTGGTTCGTTTTTCATAACTTTTCCTTCTTTTTCTTTCTTTTTTACAGTTCAAATAGCGTTTTAAATTCAGAGAATTTGATTTCGCCCCGTCATTACGCAAATGTAAATTTTTGTATCCAGCTGGATGGTCGTATTCGCGTCTGTACTTTTACTTCCGCGTTAATTATGCAAAAGGTGTGATGAAATGGGGAATGAAAACTGAAACACGGAATGCGCGCCGTAGGAAACGATATCGTAGATTCTCTGGTAAAAAATTCTCTGACGCGATTCTTTTTCGGTTTCATTCGTGAAACGAAAAATAGATAAGTCGTAATCAACGCAGAAAGCTTTCTGAAACGATGAATCGATACATGAATATTCAAAACTGCGATATAATCAAACGGAATTTTCCTTTCCCAACTAACAACCACGACCAGTAGCGAATCTCGCGAAAAAAGAAAGAGCGAAGCTTTATCTCGGCGATAGCGCTACGCTCGATTCACGTTATATCTGCCTTATCTTCGAGATAAGGCAGAAAATGGCAGAGAAAGTGCAGTCTCTTCGCTGCCGATGCTCAAAATATAAGAGGAAACTGATCTCTGTGTTTGCAGCGAAGTTAAGCCTGTCAGCGTAACGTGGAATAAAGTTGGAATCCGACTCATTAAATCTTCCATCGAACCGAATCGTTCGGTGACCGGCTGAACAATTGGCCGCTTTGAAGGTCCTGATCCCACGGAAATCGATTCGATAGCGCTTTGAGAGGGCGGTCAAAGGGTGAGCTTCTTGCGGTCTTCCTTCGACGGAGCTTCAACGACGTTATAATTTATCGCGTCTGGTTTCGTTCCACGGCGAGAACGTGACGTCGAACCACTTGTGCCGTCTTTACGGATGAACTTTATAGTTCTAACGATATTAGATTTGCGCATATGAAATGTCGTTTCTCCAAAGTTTCAACTAGATCAATACCACCCACTAAATTATGTTCTGACAACTATCAAATCATGTTGAAGACGCGAGTTTAATTTTTACAAATAATTGCATCATGTAACATAAACGAGATGTTCGTAGATAGTTTTTCGTCGACGTTGGATTTGATGACAGAAACAGGGTGATGTTTATAATGGTAGAGTTAATAACGATAGAATTTTGGTTGGCTTATTTACTTATAATTCTCAATGAGAATTGATTGCAAAATTCATCCAAATAAAAAAAAAAGAATTTTGGCTTCATCTGTATAATCGCAATTGAAGATCAGTGGCTTCGATCTTTGTGGTACTCCCATCTTCGTCGATGTTATATTTCACATTTCCTTTGTAACTTTGGAATAGAAATTACTTGCAGTCTCGAGATATTCGGATAGCCGACAGATCGTAGATCGATATGGAACGCGTGAGAATACTTGCGTATTTTTTTTTGTTGTATCGATGATGGGATGGCTGAATGTGAGCGTTAGGAAGTTTGTAAAACAGATTATATTATAGACAACCCTCTACTATGCAACTACACGAATGTGTCCGATTCGTTATTCAAAAGCAAGCTGAAAGTGTGTTATAAAGTTTCTTTGTTTCTTGTCTAACATAATTATAGATGCGACGAAGAGGAGTACGAAGAATCTAATTGTAAGTCGTGTCACGACTTACTTTCGTCTACCTAAGTTTTCTATACCGTATTTTATAAATTCCTAGTAACATAAAAAAGAAAGTTTGTATTTTATCGTTCCAGTCTCTCTTCTACTGTAACAGATGCAAGATTCAATTGGAAGCGCGCAAATTGTTCGGAAAGGCCATCATTCGTGCGAATTCTACGGCGAATTTAAAATAGCAAGTGTTTCTTAAAATATCAAAGTATACGTCGATGATTATTCTTTGCTCTTTACATCGTTGTCGATCTGAAATTCGATCTGAAGCGTGCAGAATTCACCGTTTCGTCTTAACGTCGCTGAAAATTGGAAAGTCCGTGGCAAGTGGTCGAAGCTAAACACGAGCGTGTAGCGGATAACAGATCCAGCCGTATCGTCTAACGGTGACGGCACGGCACAGGGTTTCGATCTATTTCCCGCGATAACGAGAACGCGTGGCACTCGACGAGGCACGATCACCGGTTCGAGCGGCTCCGTTATTACAACCGGCTCACCGTACCCTGTTCCACGAAATAGCCCGAGATCACGCGAAAAATCGGCTTCACGCTTCCGTCCACGAAGCGAGCTTCGAGAATAGCGGGCGGACACGTAATAGGAAATATCGAATCAATTTCTTTATTACGTACAGCCACGCTGCGCGATATATTTCGTAACGGGCAGATGATGTCAACGTCAGCCGTCTCTCCATCAACGCGTTCGTACATCCAAATGGCTTCAATTCTCTGCCTCTCTGTATCGCGTTGAAGATTTCGTATCGACTAATCGCCAGTCTCGTTCGGAATAATTTTTTTTTCTTTTCACCGAGAATCAGCGAGAATCGGCGTGTTTCCATCGATGTTTGCGAGAATAACTTCGAACGGTTTATAGCGAAGCTCGTGGTAAAACATAAACACGGCGTAACAGGAATATAAATTATTTGAGCGAATTTCACGTACTTTCCAAAGAAACGTCAGCGAGTTTCGTTGCGAGCAATATTCGCAAGAAAATCGTTGAACGTTTGCGAGTATCTACGAACATCGCTCGCGAACATGTCCCTTGGTGACTAATACGTGTACACGCCTTACAGTTACACGAGCCATTTGTCCCCTTATAGATACAGACAAATGGAATTCTACCGTGTAACCTTGACTCGTGTGCGTAAGTCTTTGGAACGTTCGTATTTCAGCGTTGGCGTACATTTGCGTGTGTCGTGGCTAGTTTTAGCTCACGGTCAAGGCCGCTGTTTATTTGCACGAATCAATCAATTAAGGAGAAATCGTTAATCCGTCCGATATAGAAGGTTCTTTGGCTAAGAACACTTTGCCGGTGCTTTCGTGGGATTCGTTTCAGGGATTTTGGCCAACTCGATTGGTTACAGGCAGGTTCTCGTGTTTGATGTACCTACGTGTGAAATTGCTTGGGGCGATCATTGAATTCGAGTCTTGCTCGTGATTAGTATTCGAGGCTTGGTCGGAGTGTTAATTTCAATTTTGCTTCCTGGGAATTAAAGAAAGAAATTGGAGCGTGATTCCTTAAAAAAGAGATTGAAAGGAGAAATCGTTAATCCGTCCGATATAGAAGGTTCTTTGGCTAAGAACACTTTGCCGGTGCTTTCGTGGGATTCGTTTCAGGGATTTTGGCCAACTCGATTGGTTACAGGCAGGTTCTCGTGTTTGATGTACCTACGTGTGAAATTGCTTGGGGCGATCATTGAATTCGAGTCTTGCTCGTGATTAGTATTCGAGGCTTGGTCGGAGTGTTAATTTCAATTTTGCTTCCTGGGAATTAAAGAAAGAAATTGGAGCGTGATTCCTTAAAAAAGAGATAAAAAAAAAAAAAAAAAAAAAAAAAAAAAAAAAAAAGGAAAGAAAAGAAGAGGAAAGCTGAATCATAATATACGTATAGGATGAATCTTAATTTTAATATGAAACTTCGTGTTACTTTGAAAGTAAAAAGTTGTATTTTCTACGGAGTGCCGCTGTATAAATGAATCTTGTAAGTAATTAACCAAGTTCAGATTTGCCAAATTATTTGATTTCAAATTATAATGACGTTTCAATTAAAATAACCTAACTTGGATCAATTATAAATTATCACTTCTGAAACATCAAACGAATTGCAGATTGCTGGAATATTTGCATAATACATAATATTTCCAATTTTCAGTATTTCAATGATAAAAACAAAATTCCCATCATCGATGTTGGAAACATTCCTGTACGCGAATCCTGTGAAATATCAGAATATCGAAATGTCGCATTAAATCGGCACGGAATCCGTTTGTATTTACAATCGTCCGAATCCGAACCGGTATGACTGACCTGCGTTTTATAACGTCGACGGTTGTTACTACGATTATTACAGTGATCATCGACGTGTCGGCGTCCTCGTGGTTCTATTACAGTCGTAAAATTTCAATATTTCAAGTACGAATCCGCGCGTGAACGTTTTCAACTCACCGCCGTTTCCTGGCTACGTTTCTCGTCTCCTTTTTACGACGATTTGCCTCATTTTTTCGATCGATTCGGACCCAACGGTCTTCGAATGCCCGTAAGATTTTAAACCATATCTGTAAAGTTAACGCGCTGTCAAGCGGATTTTGCGAGAAACTTTTAAAAGCAAAAATATAGCGATCTGTTGTACGGAAATAACGCAAGAATCTTGGTACGCCTCGTACTTTTATTTAAATGATACAACGATGAAAAAGCTAATTCATATCGATGGTCACAATGGACTCTGAATAATATTAGGTTGTCCGAAAAGTGTCTTTCTTTTACAGACACGTCTTTTACAACGACGCATTTTTATAGCAACATGAAACCTAATCTGTCGAACGCTGTGATCTTTATCTTGATAGAACAAAATGGATCATAAATAATTCGATAAAATAATATGAAACGAAAAATGTCGTGCGTCCATTATTTCCTTATAAAACGAAAGATACTTTTCGGACGACCTAATACAGCTCGAGCTATACATAGCTATACTATACAATTATTTTCTATCATTTTTATCTAAATAAAAAGTCTTACGTTGGTACCATCGGTATATCATTATCATTTAAACGCGACTCGTACCTTTACGATGTAGATAATATTCGAAAATGTTAAACGCGAGTCACGATATATTAAAACTGCAACAGTAAATTATACCGGAGAAAATTGGCTCTGGGTATAGGGAACTTATAGAAGATTAAACGAGGAAATAAATCTTTGAGATTATAAAGATTAAAGGAACAATCGTAATTAGTATATTTGAAACGAAGTTAAGTTACAGAGGATTAGCTTTACATAGACTTTTAAAAGAAAGTCTTTATTGTAAAAATCTTCGTGTTGTTATCCTCTAGTCTTAACGTCGTGTCTTTTACGTTAATTCGGCCCTTATTCTTTCACGATGTTTACATTAGAAACACCCTCGGTCTTATCACAGGCTATCATCACAATCTAAATTGTTATTATTCTCATTAACGTCTACTACGTTTAAAATACTCCGATCTTTACATAACCACGTGTTCCTTTTCTGTTTCAGGTGAGTGTGTTTCATTCAACTTTTCACGATCGAGAAACTGATAAAGAACCCCTGGGTCGAGGTATGGTTTCTTTATTCTCTCATATTTTCTCCCATCGATAACCGTTCCGGTACGTCGATGAATATTAATTTCGCCACTCGGTTCGGATCGAACGAGAAAGTTTGATATACTTGTCGTCGAGTCGTTCGCGCAAATATTTCATTAATCAAAGCTTATCAAAGTGGCTACGAATGGGAAGTAGCTCTCGAATTTTTTGCTCGAAATACGTCGTTTAGATCTATGAATCTGGTAACTTATTTGTTTTAAACAAATATCGGTCACAGGAAACCGGAGGAAAAATATTTTCCTGGTGTTTTAACACGTATTAATCGACTGGTGCGATGGTCAATAGGTAACTCGCGTTTTTCTATTCCAGAACAGTTAAATGAAGATAAACTTCTTGGATCGATTGGAATTTACGACGATGAATTTAGATAACATTGTCAAAAAAACCTGTACAAATATGACGTAATATTAACGAAGAAATTTCAACGACGCGAATGATTTAAAGAGTATCGTTCAAAAAAATTGTAGAAACACGATATTATAATTCTAAAAATTAAACCTTATGGCGTAGCAACGTTTCGATCTTGTAACGATATCCGCCCACGATAAAATCTACGAAATTCGCGCGATAGTGAACATGTTGAGATTCAAACAAACGACATCTGTTTTAAGCAATAACGCAAACTTCTGGTGAAACGAAAATTCGTTCAAGCAACTTGCGCATCTAATTCGAAGCTAAGAAATTTTCATTTTCCGCAGCTTCATCCATAAAACCAGCATTCTCTTCTTGCGACTCAGCATCGAACGTTGCATCCGTTCGTCAAACATCACCGTGCATTCATCCAGCGTGTCTCTCAAAACGGATTTCCTTCGGAACCATGTCGGTGTATGGACGAAGAGGAAACCGAGCTTTTTGGTCCCCGTAAAAATCGCTGTTCGAATTCGTCAGTCGCGACTTTCCTTCAGAAAACGATTCTTCTTTTGCCCGACGACGTTACGGTTACACTTTCTTCTCCTTCTTTCCCTTTTCGCTCGTCCCTCGATCGTTTTAACAAGACGAAAGATCCTCTCCGCGCGCAAATCCAGCCGGATTTCTCGGCGGACGACGATGTTCGTCCGCGAGGATATTGGAATTTTGAAAATCCCCACTGACGGTGGTCGGTGACGTCTTTGCATTCGAAAGAAATCCCTCGAAACTGCGGCCAGTATAACATTCGTCCTTCCCCTCTACCTCACTTTGATTTTACCTTACTTTTAGCTTTCGCGAACCATTGCGTATTTTCCTTTGTATTTTCATCAATGGATTACGCGTGCGTTCTCACGACTGGCAAATGGAAGATTATTATTTTCTGAAAATTTCTCTTCTTCGAATCGGCGCTTTGTTATTCTATGAAATTTTTAATACAACGGAATAGCAGCTCTTAGTATCTTCTTTGCGCTGAAGCTTCTGGAAACTTAAATTTTAGCTTTCCGAAACAGTAAAGATTATGAACATTTAGAAATCTATTTTGCAGCGACTCCTCTTGCTTCTTCTATTTATATGAATGAAGGAAGATCGTATAGCAATTTGCACATTGCGAATATCGTCAAAGCAGTGGCAAGAAGCGTAAAAGATTGGAATTACAGCGCTAAAAGTATCAGCCTATTTAGAAGCCTCGTTAGTCGTTTAAATACGATTTTCTCAATTTTTATTTCCTCTATTTCCAAACAATTCTTCGTTCGTCGCTTTCACGATCAATTAGCTACAAGTTTGTACAAGGCTAGGATCTACCATCGAAAAGAATTATAAAGAGCGAATAGTTAACTATTAAAATTTCGTCAAGATCACATCGTACCTGTTTGTACTCGTATACAAAATGTTGCTACGTCGTGAAACTTGCCAACAAAAATCACCGCGTAAATACCTACCAACCCCATCAGCAAGTTTCTCGAAACATTTTTCCATCCTTCGTCTCTTCCTGCGATTTCCCTAGTCGGCTCATAAAATTTTTTTCGCGTTTGCCCATCGGGGAAATCGCGTCGTCCCGCTGGTTCGTTGTCTTTGGAAAGATTCTTTGGATTTCTGGCGGCCGTGAGGGGAGGTCCCGGCCGGTTTTCTTCGCGTTTTCTTTCCTCCAGAACGATGCGACGTGGTCGACAATCAGCGACGACGCCTCAGGCTAACCAGTCAGACATCGTCCTCCACCTTCTCCTTTTCTACCGCTTTTTTTTCGCTTTTTCACCTTTATCACGACAGAAATACCGATCCTCGAGTGGCCGACGTCGCCAGTCTGCGCTTTTACCGATCTCGCGAGAGTCATTTTCGAAGCCACGTTGGTTACGAATCGATTATTATTATCGACAATTCCTCGTGTAACGATATTAATTAAAGAGAACAGTCGCTTTTCTAAATATTTTGTGTATTAGTTAGCTATTATTAACGGATTTCTGCCGTTTTATTTTCCGTGACAAGAAATTTCTGACTTGGACGAGTATCAGCATAGTTGAATGTTAATGCCTGGGCCGATTCTCGATTGAATCTGGCGAATGATCATCATTTTCTATCAGCGACGGCTCGTTAATTCACCGCGTAACGAAGGCAAATGTTGCGAGCCGCGTTATTTGCACGGTATATCCCGGTTTGCGTTCAATTAAATGGTACGATCCGTGGAACGGTCTCGCGAAAGCGGCGTTTCGACGTTCCCCGACTTAATTCGACAAATATTTCCGCGTTATCCGTAAACGTTCGTGCAGATCGATTGCTTGCCATCGAGTGAAACGCTGATAAATAAACGTAATAAGTGGCATTCGGAGATACAGATCGGAACGTGATACCGTAAATTAATTATAGATCTTCTACGAAATCTTCTTTTAGACAAACAGTCTGTTCCTTTTTTGTCCGACTTCAAGTTTGGTTTTCAGGTCGTCGACCTGCAAAGTATTTTTGATCGAGTCTGATTTCCAGCTTTGAGGACTTTCAGAGTTAAGTTTACGGATTTCCGCAAAGAAACTAATCTACGAAATACCAGTTTCACTTCTGCTGTACGTGTTTCCGAACAATTCCAGCTATCCGCTATTTTCAAGAAATACGCGTACAATTCGATCTACCGGACGTTCCTCTTCCTATAGAAGCAAGCGATTATTTGAATAAAAATTCAACGTATCATTCGTCTACGCTTTAATTAATTCCACTTGTAGATTCGTGTCACGAGAGTAGACAGTAGGAATTTTAATATCAATATATTTCTTCTTCTTTTTTTGTACGCTTCTACGTTTCTTATTTGTATTTTTATCCTCCCGTTCCATCGTAACTCCGTGAATAGCCCATATACTTTACGCAACGCGATTCGTCGAATTCTTCCAAGACAAGAGGAGTCGCGTCGAGCTCGAGTTTTCTACGTTTTAAAGGTGTCACTTGGTAGTAGGGACGAAGCGTGTTAATACCATCCTGTAAGGCTTCTATCACGTATCGGCCGACTCTGTACGGTTTCGGTGAATTACGTTTACTTAATCCAAACTTGCTGAACATGCGAACACTCGCTCGTTATCGCTGCTCCGCTTGTTTCCGCGTCGCGTATATACACACCGCTTACGTTTCATCTTCGCCCTTATTTGCATGCGCGCGACTTAATCGCCACCCTAACACACGGATTATAACCGATCTCTATGAAATTCTTTATTTTAACGAGATAAGAAATTTTTCCAAATTTTCAACCGCAAAGGTTGATCAAGTGGAGTATATTTAGTCATAATTAAATCGAGCTTGATTTTGTCATTCTTCAACGACGAATTCTTCCAGTACAGACTGTTTTAAGATTTATACAAGATAATTTAAGAAAATATAAAAATGTTTCTATGAAATGTATCTTTTTAAGTCATCCTCGAGAAATGTTGAATACGATAACAAGCAATTTTAATATAATAAGATGTGGAAATTTTGTTCTTTGCTCTGCTAACCATTAAATGTATCGACTGTTTTAAACGATAAGTAGACAGAAATCTATCGAAACGCTATTGCAGTAAGTCGTATTTAAAAGTACA